AAAGCAGATAAAACTTATGTTAACGATGAGTTAGAGAAGAAAGCAGATAAGACTCATACACATACAAGTTTTACAACTTTTACAGCAGATGATATTACACTAAACACAACCTTGCCAAATAAAGGTCCAACAATACCACCGGCAACAAGTCTTGTAGATACTTTGATATCTAATGACAATAGTATTATGCATCTAAGACAGGAACTCAATGTGCTTAAACAAATTTTGCCGAATCTTATTTACCCGGTTGGCTCATTATATGTTTCAATGAACTCAACAAATCCAGAAACAGTTCTGGGTTTTGGAACTTGGACTCAAATAGTCGACAGGTTTTTGTATTGTGCAAACTCTTCAAAGGAAACAGGTGGAAGTAAAACGATTTCAGGTGAAAATTTACCTGCACACAGTCATTACATAAGATTAACTACATCTGAATCAGGTTGGCATAAGCATAGATATTGGGATTGGTCAGGAATGACAAAAGGTAAAGGATATGATGTTAAAGACGACGTTAAGTTTGCTATAAATTGTTACTGGAGTGACACTCAGGGAGAAGGAATCCATACACATTTCGTTACAGGATATACACATACAACGGGACAAAGTAAAGAATACATGCCACCTTACATGACAGTTTACGCATGGTATAGAATTGCTTAGTCGTCATTTTCAACTTCTTTAGCATATTCGTCAGGAGTTGTCTTATATTTGTTAGGAACTGTCTTTGAAAGTATACCACCTTGAACTTTGACAAGTTTGAAACGAGGTCTGGCAATAGTAGTTTTATCTTCTGCTTGCAGTGTGTACATTTTGCCATGTTTGCCTAAAACTTCATAATATTCTCTTGTATACTTTCTTCTATTTTTACGAACACGAATGTGAGTACCTGTCGGGTTCCCATTGTTGTCATAGTCAATAGTATTTTCATATGGGTCGCGTTTAGGTATTTCTATTTTTACTTTGTCACCTTTCTGAAGTTTGAAGCCCGGCATTCTTTCTTGTTTGTCTCTTTTGACTAAATTATTAAATATATAGTCTTTCTCTAAGTCAGGGTTGTTTTTCATTTCTTCGGGGGAGTGGTTTCCCAAACCTTTTTGTTTACGGCTATTGTAAATATTTAAAACTTGTCTCATCTTTGCCATGGAGAAGTGTCTATATTTGTCGTCATATGACATTTCATTTGCTTCACCACCTTGTGGTTGGTTTAAGTCTCTTAACATTTTTATACAACCGTCAATGACACCAAGAGCAGAATGGTTTTGGTCGACAATGAAATATTGGTTTACATTTTTTGAACGCAGATAGTTTTTTACATCATCTGATTTGAAAGAACTTTCACAGTCAGATGTCAGTTTTGTTGGATGGTATTTGTCAACGAATATTGTCAAAGCAGTTTTTACATCTAAAATATTTTTGGACCATAATGGTATGGCTTCACAGTATCTTGTGTTTTGACCAACAAATATTAACCAGTATGGAGGTCCATCTGTTCTAACTCTCGGAATGTTTTCCAAGATATCCATAAACCAAGCATTTGGTGTTGAACTAAAGATTTTTATCATGAGTGCTTTTTTTGTTGCCTTAGAAACATAGGGGTCCTTGTTTGGATTCGTCATTTTTTAACCCATAAGAAATGGGTTTATTTGGCGCATTAGCAGGAGTTGCATCCAGATTTTTGCCCGCAGTGGGAACAATAGCCAGAGGTGTATTTGGAGTTGGAAGGAAGATTTTGAGTACATTAGGTATACTTAAAGAGAAAGCACAACCTATTATACAAACTGTACAGAAAGGTTGGGATGTAGCACGAGATGCAACAAATCTTATTCCAAATCCTGAAACAAGAGGAAAAGTTCAAGGATGGATGGACAATGTAGGAAGACAAGCAGGAAACTATTATAACAAAGCAAATGACTACTATAACCAAGCAGGACACTATATGGACCAAGGTGAAAGATTCTTTAACAGAGGATATAACCATGCACAACAGTGGGTAAACAATAACCAACCTCAACCGCCTCAAACGTGGGGAATGTAAAGTTTTTTATTGAGATGAAATGAACAATGCAGCATTGAGACAAATAAGTTCAAGATGGATTTGTCGGCTTCCAGCAGTTACATCACGTGTTTGTCAAGTTCTTCCTATACCTCAGGAAGTTTTAGACCGACTTAAAAAACAACAACAACCAGTTGAAAACAAACCAAACTAAAATTTTTTACTGAGATGAAATGACCGAAGAAGTTGAAACGGTAGATTTGACACCACAAACAAAAAGTTCAGAACCATTGTCAAAACCTGTCAAAGAACTTACAGATGAAGAGAAAAATTCAATAATAGAAAGTGCCAGGTCTGGAAATACAAACCCTAACTACAAAGTCACTTTTCATAAAAATGGAACGGCAAGTATCTCAAAAAAGAAACAGACTCTCACAAATAAAATATTGAAGTCTGAAGGAGCTTTCGAGACAACAGATGGAAAAGTTTACTTCACTGACCAACAGTTCATTATAGAACATCTCATTGACTTAGAGTCGAAATATTCTAAACTTTACAACAAACACAAAAAGTTGAAAGGAAAACAAAAACAAATGGCATATGATATTTATGAAGATGTTGACGACACAACTGTTCCTGCAAGTGAAGTAAAGTCAGAGGAACCGAAAAGTGACGAAAAACCGATAGAAGAAGAAAAACCAAAAACTGAAGATAAACCAAAACCAAAGTTTAGTTTGGAAACTAAACCAAGTCAACCTTCATTAGCTGGTATGGGTTGGCGTCAAAGACTTATGGCAGCAGGCGGTTATGTAAAGTAAAGAAAAAAAACATTTTTTTATTTTTATAAAAATGCCCCCATATAGAATGGACAGAAAGTCTGCTAGAATAAAAGCAGAGTTACAAAGATATGGTTGGAGAGTTTCGAAGAAGTTTAAATATAGGAAGGGAAAGCCAATAAAAGTCTATGACAAACTGGCTGGTCTGACCTACGAAATGGATTTGGAAACAGCACGTGCCAATTATCCAAACAGACTAGAGAGGTTAGAAGAAGAACGTCTTATGAACATGCCTTTCGATGTTAGTGAACCTCAAGTTGAAGGACACGACGGCTTTGCCAGATTCTACTGGAAACATGACGAACAATTGCATCCTTTGAGAAGGAAAAAAGGTAGTGCAGAGGATGGTCATGCTCCCATGGAAAGAACAAGATATGCATATGAGAAGTACCGTGAAGTTAGAAGTCAAATTACTTCTGGTCGAACCTTTACAGTAAACTTTGACGAAGGAAAGAACAAAGAAGGCTTCATGGGAGTACTTGCTGCAATTCAAGACGGAAATAAGAAAGGACACAATCTCAGATTGACCATAACGGATTTGGATGGTCACATTTACTATGCACATGGCAATGAACAAACAGCCGCAAAACTTCTTGACGCTTTCAAGACTACAAAGAGAGAACAAATGGTTGACTCCGACTCAGACATTTTGAATGCAATTGAAGGAATTGCAAGTGTCAAGTTCGAATGGTACCAACCTAACCCTCAAGCAGTCAGACAACATGCTGGATACTTCCCGTTCATAAATAAGTCTGACATTAACTTGACAAGGTATGGAATTTACAATTCAATTGAAACAATTGTCAATGAACCTTGCATTCTTACATGTCTCAGGAACTCTGGTCTTGTTACAGATGAGAAGATGAAGTATCTTGAGTCATGTGTGAAGACAAGGTACATTCTCAGAGGTCAATTGGCAAAAATTGCACCGTTGGCAAATGTCAATATCCGAGTCAACATACCTACAGCTAAAGGTTCTTCACATGACGACTATGTTGTTGAGTTCAATTTACCATGGTTGAAGATTGTAATTGTCCACAACCACTTCATGTTGAACGAAAGTCTTACAAACCCATTGTTCGGAAAAGGCAAGTGCAACATTGTCAGAGCTGTAAACATCTTTTCGAGAAAGGTTTGTTGGAACCAATTCCAGATGACAAGCTGACAGAAACTTTTGTACCAAAAGACGAAACAAACTTTTCATTGTTAGCAAGACCAAAAGTTGTTCCAGACAAAGTTCTAGTACAAAAGAAGTACACAATTCCACAAGGGGTTGGTATGTTCGGATACCAACCTGAACCAGAAGAACTTCCAATGAGGTTGCAAGAACTTCAAGATGCTATAAACAAACTTCCATTGAGACATCCAATTGACGTCAAATTGTATTGGAGAGCATCTGAGTTAGGTCAGAAGGTTTATATGAAACAGGTTGCTTCGACGATGTTTATGAGATAACAGGAGAAGTTTCTCAGAAGATAAGAGACTCACTTGAATTTCCACAAACTGGACCAATTGGTTGCGACAAGTTCGACTCAAACGAAAAGATATACTATGTCGACCTTAACGCTGCATACATGAGGTTTGTCCAATATATTCCGACTGGAATTCCAAACGAAGATGGTGAGTTCCCGGGAAGGAACTATATAGTTGGAAAAGTCATACAACAACTGTATGATATTAGGAAAGCTTCAAACCCCAAACTTGCAATGACACTCAAATTGCTTATGAATTCGACATGGGGATATTCCATTAAGAAACCTCAAGAGATGAAGAGTAAACATTATGAGAAGGTCGACAACTTTGTTGAAAGGTTTTCTCCTTTTGTTTTGAAGTACGAATTCACTCAAGGTCAAAGTGGCTTAGTAACCACATTAAAACCTATTGTCGAACATTGGTCTTACCTCAGTTCGCAAAAGCAGTCCTTGACGAGTACAACAAATTCTTCTCCGAAGTCAAATCGAAAGTGAAGGTTTACTATGAGAACATTGACGCACTCATGACGAACGAAGAAGGATACAACAAACTCATTGAAATGGGAATGGTTGGTGAAAAGATGGGCTGTTTTAAGCTAGATAAGGTATTTTCCGAAGTTCATGTAATATCGAAAAGGAAATATTGGGGCATACTTGAAGACGGCACAGAAATAAAACATTGCATGAAATAAAAAATTTTTATTCGAATTTGAATTTAAATGTGGGAATTCTTGGGAACGTGAAAGGCTTATTTACTTGAGGAACAGGTAAAGGTGGTGGAGGTGGTGGCAACCAGTCCATTTTATATTCCTTCCTAGCTAATTTCCGTTTAATTTCATGGTCGCCGTCTATGTCGTTCTCAACGTCTTCAACCATGGCTTGAAACTCTTCATCGGTCCATTGAGATTGGTGTGGGACGAATTTAACTTGCTTCATTCAAAAAATGAAAAAAATGTTTTTACTCTAAACGTTAAGGTTTACTGAACTGGTTGGATGTCGCCTTCACAGGTTATGTAGAACGGCTGACCCGAGAAGTGAAGGAGAAACTGAATTGCCAATTTCATATGGGGTAGGGGGTTCTCCTTGTTTGGTATTTTTATCCAAGGACGTTTGTTTAGGAACTTAACAAGAGCTTCTCTTTTGGCGTCCTTTATGTCGTCGAAAGGAGTGTTTTCTGGTATTTGAATTGGAATTCCGGTCGAAGTCTCGAGATTCAAGACAGCCCTTCCAGAAATAGTGGTGAACTTGACCTTGGGCTTCATGACCTTGCGCAAGTAGTCTTTTACGCAGTCGTTAAGTTCAATGAGGTAAATTGCCTCGTCAAATCCTTCTGGCATTCCGAGTCCTTCCATCCGACAGGAAAATATTTTCCCGACAACTGGAAAAAATTTTCCGGACAAAGGGAAAATTTTTCCCGACGACAGGAAGAACTCTTCCAGTTGTCCGTCCGTAAACCATTCAAATTTTCGAAAATTGAGAACTTTTTGGTCGAACTTCAGAAAATGTTTTTCCTTCCGACAGGAAAAAATTTTCCGGACAAAGGGAAAAAAATTTCCTTCCGACAGGAAAAGTTCTTCCATCCGACAGGAAAAGTTCTTCCTTCCGACAGGAAAAGTTTTTCCTTCCGACAGGAAAAGTTTTTCCTTCCGACAGGACACAAACGGATGACTGACGTTCCTCTTCCTGAATGCCTTCCAAAGCCAGAAGAACCGAAAGCTGCAGAACCACAACAGTCTCCTCAGCAACCTCAGTTCCAGCAAGTACCTCCGAATTACTACCAATTTCCACCTCAAGGTTACTACCCACCACAAGGCTTCCCGAACTACCATCCTCAGCCTATGCCTTACTTCCCCAACCCTTGGATGTTTATGCAAGCTCCACCCCAGCAATTCCAATCTCAATCCAAATCGAAGAGAGACCAAGAGTTCGAAGAAGGTCTGAACCGTTTACGCAAAGATTATGCCACAGCCCCAGTTGAGAGAAAGTTGTTCCCGGACCAAAAATATAATTTAGGTGAAGAGGTGAGATCTCACCTCTTTTTTCACCTGTTTTTTCACCCTCTTGAATTTTCATGAATTTTCATGAATTTTATATATTAATGTTTTCGCTAAGCCACTTTGTGCCGTCAGTCAGTCAGTCAGTCAATGAAATTTACACCAAAAATATAATTTAGGTGAAGAGGTGAGATTTCACCTGTTTTTTCACCTGTTTTTTCACCTCGTGAATTTTCATGAATTTCCTTAAGATAGAAAAAATAAAGTTAGTTTTATTTTATTTATTCTTCATTTTTTTGTATAAAAGATATGATTTCAGGGATTTTTTTGACGAAGTGCAAACCTTCACTTCGTCAAAAATAACAGTTATATAATGAAAAAGTGAAAGTTATTCTTCATTTTTTTGTATAAAAGATATGATTTCAGGGATTTTTTTGACGAAGTGCAAACCTTCACTTCGTCAAAAATAACAGTTATCTAATGAAAAAGTGTCATTTTTTTGTATAAAAGATATGATTTCAGGGATTTTTTTGACGAAGTGCAAACCTTCACTTCGTCAAAAATAACAGTTATCTAATGAAAAAGTGTCATTTTTTTGTATTTTTTGTATTTGACGAGAATGTCGGGTAGATGGTTAGATCTAACCTCATTTCTAACCTCATTTCTACCCTCTTGAATTTTCATGAATTTCCTTAAGATAGAAAAAATAAAGTTAGTTTTATTTTATTTATTTTTTTTATTTTGTATAAAAGATATGATTTCAGGGATTTTTTTGACGAAGTGCAAACCTTCACTTCGTCAAAAATAACAGTTATATAATGAAAAAGTGAAAGTTATTCTTCATTTTTTTGTATTTGACGAGAATGTCGGGTAGATGGTTAGATCTACCCTCATTTCTACCCTCTTGAATTTTCATGAATTTCCTTAAGATAGAAAAAATAAAGTTAGTTTTATTTTATTTATTTTTTTTATTTTGTATAAAAGATATGATTTCAACAATCGGCACAACAACAATTCAAACAACAGCACCAAACTCGTTAGTCATGAATCCAACATCTATGTTAGTAGAAATGAAAAGTTTCATTCCTTCTTCATATACTTTCGAAACAGAAATACAAAGAATAAAGCAGGAACTTTTAACAAGTAATTTAGACTGTAGTGCGAAAGATGAAACAAATGAACAGTATCTTTATGAAATGGAGGACATTATTGACCATTTGCCTAAACTACCTGAAATTCAGCAGCAAAAACTAACTATTCCTGAATTCGATGAAATTGAAGTCAAAGCAACTGACTCAGTAGAAATTAAGAAATTCATACGTAAAGTAAATTATGAATTCCTTGGTTTTCATTGCAACCATAAAGTTATGGACAAAGATTGCGACATGTTATATAAGAACATCTCTGACATATATAAATCTGGGGAGTTTAAGACATACGACAACTTTGTTTCATTAGCTGCAAAATGTGTATGGCAGATAAGAGATAAAGATAGAAGAGGTAAGGTATGGAATGAACAGATAAAACCAACTGCTTCAGATTTAAAGAAAACCATTGACGCCTTGGTTGTTTTAGCAGGTAAGGTTTCAGAATATAACGCAAAAATGAACCCGCAATGTTCTAAATGTAAAGCAGCAATGAGGAAATATAACTACTCCGTCAAAGAGATAGAAAGAATGAGAAACGACTATGCTGACTTAAAGAAAGAAGCAGAGAAGCCGGTAGAAGATAAAATGGACATGTTAGAATTTCTGAACAAAAACTATCCAACTGCTGACGATTTCCTTCTATCTGATGTCAAGAAGAAGTATAAAGAAACTTTCAGCATTGTTAAAACATTCGATGTACTAAAAGAAGAAATAGAAGCTACAAAACTGTTTAGGATTTCAAATATACATCGTACAATTCATGTAAAACGCTTATAAAATAACTGAGGTGAAAAAACAGGTGAGAAAACGGGTGAGATCTCACCTCTTCACCTAAAATATATTTTTGCTGAATTCAGCAACAAAATTCTGAGTAAAATGGCATATGCTTGCTTCCCTCGGAAAACCGAGAGAAGAGATTCCGTATGAAAATCGTGAAAAATTGCCAAACGGTTTGAGAGGATATTATGTACATAGACTTCTTGTAAATGCTGTTGCAATGTGGGCTTCACCTAAAATATATTTTTATTGAATTCAGCACAAAAATCATGAATTTCCTCATATGCTTGCTTCCCTCGGAAAACAGTGAAGAACAGCGAGTAGGTAAAAAACCGCAGTCGCCAAAACTCTATGAAAATCATGAATTTCCTTAAGATAGAAAAAATAAAGTTAGTTTTATTTTTATTTATTTTTTTATTTTGTATGTAAAGACAGATATGTCAACAACAGAGAACACAACAACAGTTATAGTCCATGAAGCTATAAATGAAGAATATGAGTGGGTTCAGTTTAACAAACAACTCCGTCTCATTCGTTCGGTCAAAGACGATATGTACCAAATGCAAAGTATTTTGACAGCATGTTTTGCTCCAGATACCAAACATACAGACGATTGGTTCAAAAACCAAAGCACACAAGAACTTTTGAGCGAAGCACAGCGAGACCGACTTTTTTCTGGGTCGCCTAAAACTCATGAAAATCGTAAAAATTTGCCAAATGGTTTGAGAGGATATTATGTACATAGACTTCTTGTAAATGCTGTTGCAATGTGGGCTTCGCCTCGTTATGCTTGGTATATTTACAGACTTCTTGACGAAATTCATAGACAAGAACGTGAAGAGATGGAAAACAAGCTTGAAGCAAAAGACAAAAGCATTCAGAAAAGAATACCACGTTCGGTACCAAAAGGTAAGGAAAAGAACTATAAGTATATGATTTATACTGAAGAGATGGAAAATGAAGAAGATAAAGATATGGTTATGTTGCATTTAGTCAGAAGAAACAACAAAAGCTTTTACGACCTTGCTAAGATTTACAAATCTGACAGAAATTGGTTCTATCGCGAAAACTTACCGATTTCAATGACCCCAAATGAAGATGTGAAACAAATAGTTCAAGATACGTTACCTCAAACACACTATGATATGAAAGGTTGTACAATTTTTACCTTCAAAGAAGACTTACCGCTACTGAAAGAAAAAATAACAGAGTATTTTGACAACTTCAAACAAGTAGGGTAGATGAACCATTTTTTTTCAAGCTTGACTTTTTACAATTTGAACTTTGTTTGCGTAGATATGAATTCTGAAAGAAGTATGAGGGTCTTGTATGACTTTGTACTTCTCCCATAGTTCATGTCTGTCAAACTTACCTGCCATGGACTCTTTCATAAGTTCCATGAATCGTCTTCGACAATCCGGGGAAAAGTACAATGTCAGTCAGTATTCTTTTAACATCCTTACTTAAACTCTTTGCTGTCTGTACACAAATGACAACTGAAATGTTAAAGTGTCTGAGCTTCTTAAGAATTCGACACATGTCTTGTTATCTGTTCTTTAACAAAGGATGAGAGGCGAAATCATCTAAGATAAGAAGACATCTATGAGGGTAAGTCTTCCAATCGTAAGATTGCAATTTCTTCGAAATGTATTCTATCTCTTTCTGTTTGTTTTGAAGTGTTTCTTCTCTAATATTTCTCTGCATTTCCTCATTTGGGTCTTTAACTTAGAATTTATATACTCATTTATAGCATTATACTTCAAAACTCTTCTTTGGTACTTCTTTATCCAATCCAACAACTCAGAGTCTTTTATACATACTAACTTAGACTTCTTTATAATATCTTTGAACGAATTGACGGTTTGGTCAAATTGACCAGAAGTACTACAAAGACTACTAACTCATAGAATGGGTTCTTCTCATCTAGTTCTTGTTGTTGTGCAGGCCATTTTAAGATAAGTGAAAGTCTTACCCGACCCAGGTGGTGCAATTAGACCTGTTATAACCATTCTGAGCAATAAGAACTTGTCATGTATAGGCTTTATCTGAGCATTTTCTAACTTCCTCTTGTTCTTGTTTAAAACATTCTCAAATTTTTTGTCAATGTCAGCAAACTTTTTTTCTAACATATTTTTAGAAAAATTAAAATTTTTATCTTTTAGAAAATGTCTAGCGATTTCGCTATCTATATTCGAGACAAGCTTTTTGACAGCAAAACATCTGTCGACCATAAAATCTTACATAGTGTAAACAAGAAAGGTGAATTTGTTCTAAAGTTCTGTTTCTGGGAATATGACAAGAACCATAAAACATTAAGCAGAGCAGTCTTAAAATTTGTCAATGACAGACTTGTTGACAGAGATGACCGCCGATTGGAAAGATGAAGTCCAACAAAAGTTCTTAGAATGCAAAGAAGACACATGCGCTGTTCTTGAAGATGAAATAGAAAACAGAATAGAAGAGCTATTAAAGGACAAAGAACTTTTACATAAATATGGTTCTGAGAAATTTGACATATCTCCACCAGAAAAGAAGAAGAGAGAAAGAAAGAAAAGAAAGTAGAAGAAGAGAAGAAAGAACCAGAGCCAGTTCCAGAGAAAAGAAATTTGACATGTAAAAATAAAATTTTATTTTTAGAACATTTCTGGGTCAATGTCAATGTTCTCTTCCTCTTTAGGAGTAAACACCGGCTTAGACTCTAAAAATCTTTTTACCCAATTTACCTTGAACTTCTACAACTTTAGACTCATAATATTCATAGTCGTCTGCTTTCTTTGGTTCATAAGGTATAACAAGTTTGTATGCTTTGCCTTCTTTAAGGTTTGAAAACCTTCTGTCAAAACTTTCTTTGACTGTTAACAAACCTTCTATGTCTAAGTCTTCAATTTCGCACCATTTTTAGTCACAATAGCAAACTTAACTGGTTCGATGTTCCAAACTTTGCTGAATGAAGACTTTTCAAAATGGTAGAAATAAACATTCAAATATGTGAATGGGTCTAGTTCTTCTTTAAGTCCTGACATGTACTTGTTTACTGAGATGAATTTCGTCATCTTTTCTATCGGATAAAAAATATTTTTGTTTTAAATTTACTCAGAAAAAATTTTTCTTTGTATATACACCATTCTGAACATCTAAAAGACTTTTGACATTTGCCAAGAATGTACGTTTAGAAGCTGCCATATAACCATATTCTTGACAATATTGTTTATACGAATCGTACAATGACCTTTCATCTAATGACACAAAGTCAGTTTCATCTATGAACAGTTCATATACACTCTTGTTTGCTTCTAACAATGTTTGTCTCTCTTCGGTATGTGGAATTTGTCTTGGATTGAACTTAGAAATATCTAATGTCATAAAGTATGAGAACAAGTGGTTGTAAAAGTCAGATGTCAAAGTTTCTGCTAAGTCGTCAAAATATTCTGTATCTTGCATATGAGAATCTGACGTTCTGATAACTACATATCTTCTGTCAGAACTTTCTAACTTCATCGGAACAGCATTGTTTGAAACCATAATGAAGTTTGCAACATTTTCACAAACTCTTTGGTCTTTATACTTTCTTTCAACAACTCCAACTTTATCTGTTATAAGACTCTTCAAAGCATCTGAGTTTAAAACTTTTGTTGTATCTATACTTTGAAGTTCATTGCAAACTATAAGTTTCATATTCTCTATTGAGGAGTTAAACTTGCCACAGATGTTTTCTAAGTTTGTCATATTAGGGTTCGAATAACCTTCTAACAGTTTGCACAAGATATCTGTAAAGAAAGTATTCTTACCAGTTCCTTGTTTTCCAATTATAATGAGAGCAGTTTCATTCTTAGCACTTGGATGTTGTAAGATGTTTGCAAACCAACATAAGATATACTCATAAACCTTTTCGTTTCCATTGCATATAATTTCTTTGACATGGTCTAACCAAGCTTCTATAATATTTTCTTTCCATTCTACTTGTTCATATTTATATCCAGTGAAGATAGAATAGAAGTTTGGAGAAGGTGTATAGAACTTTATACCACGAACTGAAAAATCTTCAAGTTTTGACAATAAGATATCCCAAGCATCTAACATCTTCATGCCAACTTGTACGACTTTTATTTTCTTAAGTTTCTGTCTACATTCTTGTTCTGAAACTATTGTCGCTTTAGGTTTGTTAAAGACTACATCCCATTCTTTCATAACATAACATTCTGGGGCAGAGTCAACATAAATGACTAAACGTTTCAAATTCTCAACTGCTTTGTTATAGTCTCTAAATGGACACATATTTCTGAATGCTTGGAAGTCATAAAAATCTGAACATCTATTCTGTACATTTTTATAAAAATAAAAAAAATATTTTTTTTTATTCTTGACTTTGTTGTTGCATTTGTTGTTCTTGAGCTATTTGTTGTTGAAGTTGTTCTTGTAATACAATACTTTCACCAGTTGCATCTTCCAATTCGAAACTTTCTGCCGTCATTGACAAATACATAGGACATAAAAGTTTTACAGGAACAAAGTTTGCGTCAACTAATGTCAACGTTATACTTGCCAAAGTGTTTGAGTTCACTAAGGTTGAAAATTCTGCATTCGAATGAACAATAGGCAAACCAGCAGAGAAAGTATTGTTATACGCATAAGTATCTTTTGGTCATAATAGTTTCTGTCGACATTCGAATAACACTTTGAACCTAAGTTTGAAACAATATATAAGATTGGTGTGCTTAATGTCAATGGAATAGACATTCCTTGTATGACACCTTTTCCTGTTATAGGAAACTGTTGGTAGTAAAACCAGAAATAAGTTTTGTATTATAGCTCATATCGTTTATAGTAAACTCAGTCGGACATCCAAACATAATGAAACCTGCTCTAGTTGCAGCACATGTTACACCCGTACTTAAAGTATTAAATAAGTCAACAAAACCTGTTGGTGGTATATCTGAGTAAGTATCTTCAAAGGAGTATTTTTTACCATTCACAACAATAAAGTCTTCTGGTGTCAAAAGAGCAAAACAGGCTTTAGTCGTCATTGTGTTTAAGGTTAGTTTACAATATCGTCCTTGAGGACTTTGTAAGTTTGTTGTTATAGAATTATATGACTCAGGGTTTTTAGTCGTAATAGTAGAAACCATTATGTCTTCTGCCATTTATATATATTTAAAAGTTTTTCTGAAAGTGGAGAAGAACTTCATCTAAACTTTCACATGGCGTTTCTTGAAGTTCTCTGTCTAAGAAGTTCAAATATTTTGTAAAGACATAGAACTTTCCTTTGTCTACACGAACAAACAAAACAGGGTCTTTCATATCGTTCAAAAGTGTGTAAAGTCCTTTACATGAAATAAAGTCTATATTATTTTTCTTCAAACATCTTTCAAGAAGTTTTGACATTTTTACTTAGCAAATAAATTTTAATGAAATGTTGTGGTCGTCAAATATTTTTATGACGTCTGGGAAACTATACTTTAAGTTCAACGTTTCACCTCCTTTCATAACGTATATCTTGTCAATGACATTATATGAAACACCACAGCAACCAATGTCGGGTTCTATTTCTTTGATGTTTATATCGTCTGCCTCTGTCAAAAGTTTCAATAGTTCTTTCAAAACTTCATGAGGTGCAATGACATATGAGTTCACTTTTACAGGGTTGTGTTCGACCAAGTTTAACATTATACTTAAAGCTTGACAAATCTTCTCCTGAGTTTGAAGTTTGTCTTTCAGTTGTTGGTAGTCGTTTCGAATATCTGCAACAGAACTTAAGTCTCTGCTAACTTCAGGATATGTTGGTTCTTTTACAGGAACAATTGTTATACCATCTTCGTCTTCGTATGGTTTCCCCATTTCAACATCTCTGTCTTTGACATTAACAATAACACTTTGACTGTTTGTTTGAGTTGGTGAATTTAACTTCACATCTGCCACCGCCATTAAACCTTTTGAAACACTCACGCTTCTATTTTTCGGAAATGACATTTTACTTAGAATAAAAAGATGGACGTATTCGGATATCTCTTTGAATTGAAGCAGAACAAAGTTTATACTCACAAACAATACAAATACATTGACAGAATAGTTCTTTATACAAACAATGGTAAATGTTATAGAATAGCAATATTTGCTGAACCAAAATATTTCCATAAAGCAAAGAAAGTTGGTATAACTGAAATGGTGAAAGTTCTTGACGTTGACAAAAATATAACAACAAAACTGACCGATATTACTAAAGGTAAGTTTATAATACAATATTATGTCAAAACTGGCGTACTGTCAATATTTGACGGAGAGAAGTCAGTTCAAGAACAACTTACTGACCTGCTGCCAAAATCTGCTCGATGGAAGCTGTCGTTATGCCAATCTGAGGAGCCCCAGCAGGTTTCATCGAACGAATCTTCAAAAGAGCATCTTCCGTGAAAAGTGCTATTGGTTTTGTAAACTTCTTTGCTCTCAATTCATCTGGACCGTCTCTGTCACCAGTATATTGTATTTGAACTGTACCAACAGTTGAAATACCACCCATAAAGTCTTCTGAGTCAGCAAATGGAATGCCAAGCCAAAAGTTTGAACGGTCTCCATTTGTATATTGAGTTTTTTGACCTCCTGTATGAGTCCATACTTTCACATATGGCATAATAGAACTTTGCATTTCAGGGTTAATGGTTGTTGTGAAGTTGTTGTTAAAGTTCATAGCATCTAATGTCAAGTTGTATGACCTCATATCCTCAACTGTAGAATATTCTTCTCTTGGATAATATTTGCCATCTATGTTTATATGATATTTAATACCAGGGTTGTAGAAACAAGAATAGTCATTTATAGTTCGTCTGAACAGTACAAACATAGTATCTGCATGTTTCATTGCAGTTGTTAAAGCAATATCTGTTCTTGCACCTGGGTCAGCACTTTGGTTTCCAACTTCACCTGCAAAGTCTTTGACAGATATTTGGTGTATAGGGAACATAAGTGGAACTGCAATATATTTGGCAGCTAAAGCATTTGAAATATCTGGGTCCAACATATAGACTGCAAGTCTGCTTTCTATTCTCTTGCATTCAAATTTTTCGCATGTGAACTTAACTGGGTCCCAAGCAGTTCCAGCAGCATTGAAATAATAGTTTACTTCATTGTTGAAGTTTGAGAAACCAAAGTCTAAGTCAACTTTGTCTTTGCAAAATTCGGCGAATGACGTTTGATTTGTTCCCTTTACGTCTGTAATAGTGAATGGGTCTTGTGTTGGTGCAATGACTAAGTTATTTTTGCTTGGAGTAAGTTCGATAGAAATTTTTCCTGCCCAGTTTGGCAAGTATCTTAAAAACCTGAAGATGAGGAAAGATGACAAAGGAACTCTAAGTTTCAGTTTTACTTTAGTGGCAGCAGTTCCATCTGAACCAGAAAGGTTAACATAAACTCCTGGAACGTTAGGGTCAAGTCTTCTTATTTTCTCAATAGTTGCATACTGGTCTGTTTGTTCTCTAGCTTGTGGTTGTACTGAGTTTCTCAAAGCGAACCATTCATAGTTTGCCCATGTTACTGTTTGAACTAAGTCAGAGTTAGAATATATCTTATATCCCATGAAAACTTCTGGAGCATATTGGTATCCGACATAGAAAATTCCATTGCAACCTTTCTTGTCAGACAACTTGGCAGAAGGTTTTATTTCAATGTCTTGTTCCACGTATAAGAATGAGTTGTCAATAGAAATAATATGAAACCTGTCGCAAGCAATATCTACTGTTGTTGAAGAACCTTCACCAAACTCACCTACATTTCCATAAGAAACAGCAGTTGTATATTCGTAAGTTCCAGGAACTATTTCTGACCTTCTAATGCATTGTCGCATTCGTTATACCATTCGGAAACATTTCCGTTCATGGCATCCAAAACTGTTGGCGTTATATTCTGAGCGGCGTACATTTCATATGGGTAAAAATATAGAATAGTTGGATTTATGTGTCATAATTGTTTCGGACCAAGCTTTACTTTCTTCCTGACTGAGTTTTTAACTCTTCTTTTTCCTTCATTGCCACTACTTTCACTAGATGAAGTTACTTCTTCACTATTTTCACTTTGTTCTACTCTTCTTCTTTGGTGTCGCTTTTGGTAACTTGCCCTCTGCTTCAAGTTGTTGCATCTTTGCCTCATGTTCACCTAGTATGTTGTAAATTTCCCATGTCCTTTTTGCCTTTGGGCTCTGGTCGCCCATCTCAGGTAACCTATATCCTAGAAAGATTTTGTCATAGTTTGTATTTGAGTCTTCGCGTATTGTTTGCATGACTCTTTCCTGAGTTTCCGGTTCAAGCTCTTCAAACAGAGCTTGTCCATATGGAATAAGCTCGTTTCCAAATATATGTTTTTGTAGCCATTCTGGTTTTCTTTCCATGTTACCAATAATATCTTTTGTGAATGGGAAAGCTTTTACCCAATGTTTCAGTCTTGCGTCATTTATTTCTGTAGTTGGTTTTATTTTGTCAAGGAACATGTTTTTCAATACTAACATTTCATTTGGTACTGTCCATTTGAGTTTTCTTAAATATTCATCCCTTCTCGGTTCATTGTCTGCAAAGTAAGTTTTTATGACATTTTGCAAACTTTCGTTTGCAAGGTCATGTACAATAGGTTCTCTTCCTTCTCTCTCCCTAACTTTCTTTCTAAACTCTTCACCAAATATACCATCTCTATGGTTCTGTGTAGTTCTTTGAGATAAATGTTCTAGAACGTCAGGTGTTATATTTCCATCAGCCATGTTCATTTCATACTGGTCCAAAATATCTGCATGTTTCATATCTTTCAATGGCATTAAAGCCGCGCTGAAAATACCAGCTATATCTGGTTCACCATTCACTTCCATTGCGTCTACAACTTCTTGGAATTGTGGTTGTAAGTTTATGAACCACCTATCCGGATTAGCTTTATGACCCATCTCATTGTAGTTCCATAGTCTGCAGAAACAAAAGTAGGTTTGTTTCCATATTGGTTAGGTTCTGAATGAACTTTAAACAATGTTTCATTTCTATATGTTTTGGTGAAATTTAACCTTTTATTTTCACCGAGTTCAGCCAAAGATTGAACGTTATATGGTCGTAAGTAAAAAGGATTGTTGTATTTGCGTACATTTTCTTTCAGTACTTCCATTCTATGCTGAATATTTTCATCTGATGTTGGAGTCTTTTGTATGTCGGCGAACATTTTCGATATTCTTCTACTATGTCAGCCGAATTTTTCTTAGACTCTTGGAAAGATTCCATATTCTCCGCATACACTTGTTGAGGGTCAAGATTTTTCGGCTGTTCCAAATCTTCATCTAGTTCTGTGAAGTTAGTTTCCAAAGGAGGGATTTGTTCGTTTCCTTCAGGCTCTTCTAGCTGTTGTTGCTGAACTATTTTTCCATGTCTGGTTGTATCTGAACTTCTTCCTGTGGAGTTTCTTGTACCTCATCTGCTGGCATTTCATATATTCCGAGACCGTTTTTAACAAGTTCCCTATCTAAGTCATCCGGACTCATAAACCTTTCTTCTTTCGTTCCGTCTCTATTTTTACGCGTTTCATGAAGAGAGTTGAATTATCATTTAGCTCTGACATCAAATATCTCGGAGTAAATTCATGTCATTTGGATGATATGCTATTAAATCATATCCCTTAGCGAGCTTGTATTTTCCAGGTTTGAAATTATATCCCATTTGGTGCTGAACCATAAAGCTAAATAGGTTCGGGTCAGTATTTCCTTCCTTGAACTTTCTAATAGCTTCTTTATATCTGTCACTAAAGTCAAGAGTATCTGGGTAACCATAATCTTCCTTAAGCATTTTTAAGAATTCTTGGTTTCCTTGTTCTCTACTTCTTTTATGTCCTTGCTCTGTTTGTGGTTGTTGTTGTGCAGGGTTTTGAACTGTTGGTTGCTGTGCAGGGTTTTGAACTGTTGGTTGCTGTGCAGTGTTTTGAACTGTTGGTTGTGGTGCTGGATTTTGAACTGTTGGTTGTGGTGCTGGATTTTGAACTGTTGGTTGTTGTGTTGGTTTTGGTGCATGCCTGTGTCTGTGTCCATGTGACGATGTAAATGTTTTAGGTAGTCCTGGTGCAGGTGCTTCTCTTGGAGGGTTTGGTGGTATATAAGTTCCACTAGCTAGTATATAAGTTCCACCAGCTGGTATATAAGTTCCACCAGCTGGCACATATGTTCCATCTGCAGCATAATGTCCTACCTGACTTTTCGTTTTTAAGAAAGCATTTACTAGGTCTGTTTTGGTCTGTTGTAACTCTTTTCTTGACTTTCCACAACAGTTGCTCTAACGGCGTCATAGGCACTTTGAACTGCTTGTCTCGTTGCTGCATCTGTTATTTTCGTCATATTTTGTGCTACTTCTCTTAACTCTTTGTCGAAACCTTCAGACTTCAGTTTCTTTCCAGATGAGAAGTCGTTCACTAGTTTCACCTTACTATGAAGAGCTTCGAAGGCATTCTTAAAGTCAGCATTCATTAAAGCTTCATTTGAACTGTCTTCATCCGCTTGTATTTTTGTCCTTATTGACCCTATAAGTTGGGCTGCTTTAGCGTTGGCTTGGGCATCTAACCAGTCATTATTAGCTTTTATATATTCTGCGCTTTTCATTGCCTTTTGCATGGCTGCGTCGTTATTTTTACTTTCTTGTGCTAAGTTTTCATACTGTACGGTTTGGTTTTGCAACTGTAAAAGTTTTTCTGCCTTTACATTTGCTTCAACTTCTTTTTTATACTCATCGCTATCCATATATGTCTTCATGGCTTTTTGTTTGATTTCTTCATCTTTCAGTACTTTATATTGAGTAGTATGGTTTTTCAAATTTATAACATCTTGTTCCATTTTTGCTACTTCTGCTGCTTTTTCTGACACTTTTTTCGCATATTCCTCTGTACTTAGTTCTTTCAGTTGTTCTTCTTTCTTCTTTTTCTCTACGTTTAACTCATTGAGTTTCTTTGTGTGTCTGTCATATTCTAGTTTCTTTTCGTTTTCACTTATTTGTTTCTGTATGTCTATGTTTGACTTTTTGACATCTGTTATTTGATTTTTGAGTGAACTCAAATTCATTTGACTTTGAGGGTTATAAGCTGTTCCGTCTGCAGCTCCACCATAGCCTGCCATTTTCGCTAAAAGTGCCGCTCTTAAACCTCCACTCTGTGCACCAATAACTCGGTTTAAAAGCATAGGGTTGCTTGACATTTGTTGCAACATAGTGGGGTCATTCATCATTTGTTGTTGCAACTGTTGTTGTGGTGTCAGTTTTACTATTGGATGTTTCAATGCTCCCTTCCTCTTACGTATATTCTTACGTAGCTTACGTGGCATTTTAAGTGAAGTAAAAAACGGTTTTTGACAGATGTTTATATGACACTTTTTGTTCAGCACAAAAAACTACTCGGTCAAAGTGTTGTTAGTTTTGTAAAATAACCGTCCTATCTCATTCTATAAGGGGGAAAAGGCTTCTCAAAGTATACTTCCTTGGAACGCCCGTAACTTTTCCTGTAGCGATGATAGACCCTTACTTGTCCGGACAAAGTTATACTATTTTGAGTGCTCTACAAAAAAGTCAACGGCTGGCTCGTCCTCAGAAATTTTTTATGGGCTAGAGGGCGCAACGCGCCTGGAAGCCCCTCATACCTGACCTAATTTAACTTTTTTAGGCATAATTTCAAATTTCTAATTTATTCAAATTCATATATTTTTAATATAAGCGATATTATATCTAAAATTACTTTATTTGCACATAATATTATACTTTTATAGATAACCCTTTTTAAATTCTTTTTGCCTTCACACATTTTTTTATTTTTTTCTTGAATCTCATTGAAAAATTTCAATTTGGGACAGTGGGAATCCCAAACAGCAAGCAGCCCTAGTGGATTGGGGAAATCCATACATCCTTAATCCTAATAAGTTATTTATTTGTTCACAATTTTAATAAATATTATTAGAATTATGTAACAAATCGGATAAAAAAATTAAAAAAAAATAATTTCCGAAATTAAAATTTAGTAAATTTAACCCCTTTAAATCAAATATCATTAATGCAGATGATTTTGGAAGCGCACAGAATTATATTGATTTGATGAGATCTTCTGTGAGTGCACCTGACTTCGCTTTGTGCGCACGAGTAAGAATGAGAACAAAAATAGCGAGAATAACACTAGACAAAATAAATATACCAAGTGAAACAGATAAAATAGTAATGGTTTTCTTAGATTTGTTTGGTTTTGAATCATCTGAGTTTTGTGTAGGTGTTTGGGTTGGTGTTGTTACTTCTGGTTTTTGTGTTGGCTCTGATGTTGGTGCAGGAATTGGTGTTGGTGGATCTGGATCTAGTGGGCATGGCTGACTTGCATTTTCAATGGTGTATAAGGTCGATGAAAAAATGAGCGTTTTTAAAAAACCGCCGTTTGAGAGGAAAATTGAGAGCACCGATGTATACTTTTTGACATTGTCAAAAACTTTGAAAGGGCCAAAAATTTTTTAGTGTCAGAAAGTTTACAAATGTATACTTTCTGACAAACAGACTCTCAGAAAGTACTCAAACAGCGGTTTTTAATTTCCGCACTTTTTTTGGCGACCTTAATCCATACTTAGTAGGAATTGTGAGACTAAGATCATCTCTAAATAAAAACGGAGCCAATGATTCTGAATCTGGTATCTCATCATATTTAAATCTGAATTCATATATTTCTTCTGAGAATTCTTCACGATCTTGGCTAACTATAGTCCAATATGGTGTTAAACTAGACATTGTTTTGTTTGAAAAATCATAAATAAAATCGCCTGGGGAAGCCATAACATGTACACCTTCCATTTCCCATTTTCTAAACTTTCTATCACTCTTTGAAATAAAAATTCCGATGGATGAGAATCTTTTTATAGTTCCGCTAGCATCTTTCGATTGATAAGTTTTGAGTGTGTTCTGTCCATTTGATTTGGTGTCAACAACAAGTTTAACTGATGCTTCAGTAGGTCCTTCTTCTGGATCATTATTTTTCATATAACCTACTGTTGGTAAATATGCTATTTGAACTGAACAACTCTTTGTTTTATCCTTGCATCCAATTCTTGTTATAGGAAATGGTTGATCTGACATATGCTTTTTGAAATTGGTCTTTCCCATTGCAACAAGTGGTTTTTGAATCAGATTTGAGTATACAAAATTACTATTTTCATCTGGAAAACCTGAAATCCCAACAATATCTGAATCGGAACCGATTAATATATTCCCAATGATGCATTTATATTGTCCTGAAGCAATTTTATAAATTGGCAAAATTTCATAATCATAAGCTGTGTAATTAATTGTATTTGATTGATCGCATCCTTCTAATTTACCATTGTAATCAATGTCGCTTTCTCGTATATGCTTTATGTTCTCTTGGGACTTCATTGCAAAGCTGATTGCAATAATGTTGCTAAGCATTTTTTGAAAAATAAAATAAAATAAAAATTCTATGGTGTAATTTTTGTCAAATTTGACACTCACAAAATGTTTTCCGAAATGAACTATACTTAACAATGAAAGTTAAATCCGAATTTCAACTAATTTTAACCTTCAGATCAAATGTCAAAGATAAATTTTGAGAGCTTTGACATCAAGTTTTTAAATGTCTATGAATCTGATTGAATATCTTGTCTTCCTTTGAATAAATTATATTAATATATCTGATTTTCGCTACACCTATCTGTTATCTCATATTACTAGATGCATCGAAATCCACGAAATTTCAATTTTTATCTTCTCCATCTTTATGAAATATCAATCCATAAAAGATAAGAAATTTGCAGATTCTCAGATGAAGAATTAAATTCAATGTTAATATTGTCCATTTTTAAATATTGTTGTAATCGCATTCTGCTAGTTGGTTCTTTAATAAATGCAAAATTCTTCTATAATACCCTATAATTCCTGGGTTGTCAATTTTTTGGGGGCCTATGGAGAAATTTACTTTATCAATAGCGCACCATAGATTCGAATCCAGAGCCTATAATTCTAGAAGTAGATGAAGGTACCCTAGAATAACTATGTGGTGTAGTTTTTATTGCTATTTAAGATATCACATAAAATATATTAATCAAATAATAAAAATTTTAATAAAATTAAATAATTGTTATTTTTATATAGAGTAGATATTATTTCTATATTTAGATCGAAAAAATAAATAATTCTGAAGTACTAGTAATATTCATCCATGGTGATTTATTTTTCAATATTATACAATAAGAAATATATTTATAAGTTTTTTTTTTGAAAAATGTTTAAAATTGAGAGATCAAAATTTCGATTTGTGAAAAGAAATCATAAATCAAATATGTCCTAATTTTTGTTTTTATTAGGGTATACATGTTTTATACTCGAAGTACGGTATGTTGTTGTTTTTTTATTCAATAATTAAAAACTTGCATACAGGTCGTAAGGTGTTGGAATATCGTACACAGAGGTTACGCACATGTCTAGGGCAACTATTTGTTATGAATGAGTGTATTTTAAAAGATTTGAAATATCATAAGATTGATCCAAAATGGCATTATAATAAATGTTTTTATCCAATGTTAATTATATTTTAAATAAAGTAATGCAAAATTAATGACTTTTGAAAATTGAGAGAGAGAACAAAAAATAGAGTTTTTAAAAAACTAAATGTTGAAATAGTTTGAGATATCAATAAAATTAACAGTGAAAAATATTAATCAGAATAAATACAAAAATTGGGTATCTTATTGAAAAAATATGTGAAAAAGAGTGAAGATCAACCGAAATTTTATATTAATATAAAGGATATAAAAGAAATGTGAACGTAAATAAATATAAATTAAAAGATATAATTAAAAATTTTAATAAAGTTGAATCAAAGACAACAATTGATAGACAATTGTTGTCTTTGTGTACAACATTCACTTGAATTATAAACAATAACAAGTGTTTGTTGTTCACTGAGCAACTTTGAGAAGAATCATTTGTGATTCTTGTCAAAGTTGAATCAAAGACAACAATTGATAGACAATTGTTGTCTTTGTGTACAACATTCACTTGAATTATAAACAATAACAAGTGTTTGTTGTTCACTGAGCAACTTTGAGAAGAATCATTTGTGATTCTTGTCAAAGTTGAATCAAAGACAACAATTGATAGACAATTGTTGTCTTTGTGTACAACATTCACTTTTTTAATATCGATATTCCTATTATTATTCTACCGTTTATTAATAAAAATATTTCTTGCAAAACCTTAAAAATAAAATTTTGGATTCTTCCTTCTCATATACTGAGGTCAGGTAAGTGGGGCTTCCAGGCGCGTTGCGCCCTCTAGCCCATAAGAAATTTTGCCCAAGACCCAAGAGGAGGACCGAACCCCAGCCGACCAGCCGGTGACTTTTTTGTAGAGCACTCAAAATAGTATAACTTTGTCCGGACAAGTAAGGGTCTATCATCGCTACAGGAAAAGTTACGGGCGTTCCAAGGAAGTATACTTTGAGAAGCCTTTTCCCCCTTATAGAATGAGATAGGACGGTTATTTTACAAAACTAACAACACTTTGACCGAGTAGTTTTTTGTGCTGAACAAAAAGTGTCATATAAACATCTGTCAAAAACCGTTTTTTACTTCACTTAAAATGCCACGTAAGCTACGTAAGAATATACGTAAGAGGAAGGGAGCATTGAAACATCCAATAGTAAAACTGACACCACAACAACAGTTGCAACAACAAATGATGAATGACCCCACTATGTTGCAAAAATGTCAAGCAACCCTATGCTTTTAAACCGAGTTATTGGTGCACAGAGTGGAGGTTTAAGAGCGGCACTTTTAGCGAAAATGGCAGGCTATGGTGGAGCTGCAGACGGAACAGCTTATAACCTCAAAGTCAAATGAATTTGAGTTCACTCAAAAATCAATAACAGATGTCAAAAAGTCAAACATAGACATACAGAAACAAATAAGTGAAAACGAAAAGAAACTAGAATATGACAGACACACAAAGAAACTCAATGAGTTAAACGTAGAGAAAAAGAAGAAAGAAGAACAACTGAAAGAACTAAGTACAGAGGAATATGCGAAAAAAGTGTCAGAAAAAGCAGCAGAAGTAGCAAAAATGGAACAAGATGTTATAAATTTGAAAAACCATACTACTCAATATAAAGTACTGAAAGATGAAGAAATCAAACAAAAAGCCATGAAGACATATATGGATAGCGATGAGTATAAAAAGAAGTTGAAGCAAATGTAAAGGCAGAAAAACTTTTACAGTTGCAAAACCAAACCGTACAGTATGAAAACTTAGCACAAGAAAGTAAAAATAACGACGCAGCCATGCAAAAGGCAATGAAAAGCGCAGAATATATAAAAGCTAATAATGACTGGTTAGATGCCCAAGCCAACGCTAAAGCAGCCCAACTTATAGGGTCAATAAGGACAAAATACAAGCGGATGAAGACAGTTCAAATGAAGCTTTAATGAATGCTGACTTTAAGAATGCCTTCGAAGCTCTTCATAGTAAGGTGAAACTAGTGAACGACTTCTCATCTGGAAAGAAACTGAAGTCTGAAGGTTTCGACAAAGAGTTAAGAGAAGTAGCACAAAATATGACGAAAATAACAGATGCAGCAACGAGACAAGCAGTTCAAAGTGCCTATGACGCCGTTAGAGCAACTGTTGTGGAAAGTCAAGAAAAAGAGTTACAACAGACCAAAACAGACCTAGTAAATGCTTTCTTAAAAACGAAAAGTCAGGTAGGACATTATGCTGCAGATGGAACATATGTGCCAGCTGGTGGAACTTATATACCAGCTGGTGGAACTTATATACTAGCTAGTGGAACTTATATACCACCAAACCCTCCAAGAGAAGCACCTGCACCAGGACTACCTAAAACATTTACATCGTCACATGGACACAGACACAGGCATGCACCAAAACCAACACAACAACCAACAGTTCAAAATCCAGCACCACAACCAACAGTTCAAAATCCAGCACCACAACCAACAGTTCAAAACACTGCACAGCAACCAACAGTTCAAAACCCTGCACAGCAACCAACAGTTCAAAACCCTGCACAACAACAACCACAAACAGAGCAAGGACATAAAAGAAGTAGAGAACAAGGAAACCAAGAATTCTTAAAAATGCTTAAGGAAGATTATGGTTACCCAGATACTCTTGACTTTAGTGACAGATATAAAGAAGCTATTAGAAAGTTCAAGGAAGGAAATACTGACCCGAACCTATTTAGCTTTATGGTTCAGCACCAAATGGGATATAATTTCAAACCTGGAAAATACAAGCTCGCTAAGGGATATGATTTAATAGCATATCATCCAAATGACATGAATTTACTCCGAGATATTTGATGTCAGAGCTAAATGATAATTCAACTCTCTTCATGAAACGCGTAAAAAATAGAGACGGAACGAAAGAAGAAAGGTTTATGAGTCCGGATGACTTAGATAGGGAACTTGTTAAAAACGGTCTCGGAATATATGAAATGCCAGCAGATGAGGTACAAGAAACTCCACAGGAAGAAGTTCAGATACAACCAGACATGGAAGAAATAGTTCAGCAACAACAGCTAGAAGAGCCTGAAGGAAACGAACAAATCCCTCCTTTGGAAACTAACTTCACAGAACTAGATGAAGATTTGGAACAGCCGAAAAATCTTGACCCTCAACAAGTGTATGCGGAGAATATGGAATCTTTCCAAGAGTCTAAGAAAAATTCGGCTGACATAGTAGAAGAATATCGAAAAATGTTCGCCGACATACAAAAGACTCCAACATCAGATGAAAATATTCAGCATAGAATGGAAGTACTGAAAGAAAATGTACGCAAATACAACAATCCTTTTTACTTACGACCATATAACGTTCAATCTTTGGCTGAACTCGGTGAAAATAAAAGGTTAAATTTCACCAAAACATATAGAAATGAAACATTGTTTAAAGTTCATTCAGAACCTAACCAATATGGAAACAAACCTACTTTTGTTTCTGCAGACTATGGAACTACAATGAGATGGGGTCATAAAGCTAATCCGGATAGGTGGTTCATAAACTTACAACCACAATTCCAAGAAGTTGTAGACGCAATGGAAGTGAATGGTGAACCAGATATAGCTGGTATTTTCAGCGCGGCTTTAATGCCATTGAAAGATATGAAACATGCAGATATTTTGGACCAGTATGAAATGAACATGGCTGATGGAAATATAACACCTGACGTTCTAGAACATTTATCTCAAAGAACTACACAGAACCATAGAGATGGTATATTTGGTGAAGAGTTTAGAAAGAAAGTTAGGGAGAGAGAAGGAAGAGAACCTATTGTACATGACCTTGCAAACGAAAGTTTGCAAAATGTCATAAAAACTTACTTTGCAGACAATGAACCGAGAAGGGATGAATATTTAAGAAAACTCAAATGGACAGTACCAAATGAAATGTTAGTATTGAAAAACATGTTCCTTGACAAAATAAAACCAACTACAGAAATAAATGACGCAAGACTGAAACATTGGGTAAAAGCTTTCCCATTCACAAAAGATATTATTGGTAACATGGAAAGAAAACCAGAATGGCTACAAAAACATATATTTGGAAACGAGCTTATTCCATATGGACAAGCTCTGTTTGAAGAGCTTGAACCGGAAACTCAGGAAAGAGTCATGCAAACAATACGCGAAGACTCAAATACAAACTATGACAAAATCTTTCTAGGATATAGGTTACCTGAGATGGGCGACCAGAGCCCAAAGGCAAAAAGGACATGGGAAATTTACAACATACTAGGTGAACATGAGGCAAAGATGCAACAACTTGAAGCAGAGGGCAAGTTACCAAAAGCGACACCAAAGAAGAAGAGTAGAACAAAGTGAAAATAGTGAAGAAGTAACTTCATCTAGTGAAAGTAGTGGCAATGAAGGAAAAAGAAGAGTTAAAAACTCAGCCAGGAAGAAAGTAAAGCTTGGTACGAGTGGGTTCTATTATGACACATAAATCCAACTATTCTATATTTTTACCCATATGAAATGTACGCCGCTCAGAATATAACGCCAACAGTTTTGGATCCATGAACGAAATGTTTCCGAATGGTATAACGAATGCGACAATGCCATTAGAAGGTCAGAAATAGTTCCTGGAACTTACGAATATACAACTGCTGTTTCTTATGGAAACGTAGGTGAGTTTGGAGAAGGTTCTTCAACAACAGTAGATATTGCTTGCGACAGTTTCATATTATTTTCTATTGACAACTCATTCTTATACGTGGAACAAGACATTGAAATAAAACCTTCTGCCAAGTTGTCTGACAAGAAAGGTTGCAATGGAATTTTCTATGTCGGATACACAATATGCTCCAGAAGTTTTCATGGGATATAAGATATATTCTAACTCTGACTTAGTTCAAACAGTAACATGGGCAAACTATGAATGGTTCGCTTTGAGAAACTCAGTACAACCACAAGCTAGAGAACAAACAGACCAGTATGCAACTATTGAGAAAATAAGAAGACTTGACCCTAACGTTCCAGGAGTTTATGTTAACCTTTCTGGACAAACTGCAGCAGCAGTAACCAAAGTAAAACTGAAACTTAGAGTTCCTTTGTCATCTTTCCTCATCTTCAGTTTTTAAGATACTTGCCAAACTGGGCAGGAAAAATTTCTATCGAACTTACTCCAAGCAAAATAACTTAGTCATTGCACCAACACAAGACCCATTCACTATTACAGACGTAAAGGGAACAAATCAAACGTCATTCGCCGAATTTTGCAAAGACAAAGTTGACTTAGACTTTGGTTTCTCAAACTTCAACAATGAAGTAAACTATTATTTCAATGCTGCTGGAACTGCTTGGGACCCAGTTAAGTTCACATGCGAAAAATTTGAATGCAAGAGAATAGAAAGCAGACTTGCAGTCTATATGTTGGACCCAGATATTTTCAAATGCTTTTAGCTGCCAAATATATTGCAGTTCCACTTATGTTCCCTATACACCAAATATCTGTCAAAGACTTTGCAGGTGAAGTTGGAAAACCAAAGTGCTGACCCAGGTGCAAGAACAGATATTGCTTTAACAACTGCATGAAACATGCAGATACTATGTTTTGTACTGTTCAGACGAACTATAAATGACTATTCTTGTTTCTACAACCCTGGTATTAAATATCATATAAACATAGATGGCAAATATTATCCAAGAGAAGAATATTCTACAGTTGAGGATATGAGGTCATACAACTTGACATTAGATGCTATGAACTTTAACAACAACTTCACAACAACCATTAACCCTGAAATGCAAAGTTCTATTATGCCATATGTGAAAGTATGGACTCATACAGGAGGTCAAAAAACTCAATATACAAATGGAGACCGTTCAAACTTTTGGCTTGGCATTCCATTTGCTGACTCAGAAGACTTTATGGGTGGTATTTCAACTGTTGGTACAGTTCAAATACAATATACTGGTGACAGAGACGGTCCAGATGAATTGAGAGCAAAGAAGTTTACAAAACCAATAGCACTTTTCACGGAAGATGCTCTTTTGAAGATTCGTTCGATGAAACCTGCTGGGGCTCCTCAGATTGCATAACGACAGCTTCCATCGAGCAGATTTTGGCAGCAGGTCAGTAAGTTGTTCTTGAACTGACTTCTCTCCGTCAAATATTGACAGTACGCCAGTTTTGACATAATATTGTATTATAAACTTACCTTTAGTAATATCGGTCAGTTTGTTGTTATATTTTTGTCAACGTCAAGAACTTTCACCATTTCAGTTATACCAACTTTCTTTGCTTTATGGAAATATTTTGGTTCAGCAAATATTGCTATTCATATAACATTTACCATTGTTTGTATAAAGAACTATTCTGTCAATGTATTTGTATTGTTGTGAGTATAAACTTTGTTCTGCTTCAATTCAAAGAGATATCCGAATACGTCCATCTTTTTATTCTAAGTAAAATGTCATTTCCGAAAAATAGAAGCGTGATGTTTCAAAAGGTTTAATGGCGGTGGCAGATGTGAAGTTAAATTCACCAACTCAAACAAACAGTCAAAGTGTTATTGTTAATGTCAAAGACAGAGATGTTGAAATGGGGAAACCATACGAAGACGAAGATGGTTAACAATTGTTCCTGTAAAAGAACCAACATATCCTGAAGTTAGCAGAGACTTAAGTTCTGTTGCAGATATTCGAAACGACTACCAACAAACTGAAAGACAAACTTCAAACCCAGGAGAAGATTTGTCAAGCTTTAAGTATAATGTTAACTTGGTCGAACACAACCCTGTAAAAGTGAACTCATATGTCATTGCACCTCATGAAGTTTTGAAAGAACTATTGAAACTTTTGACAGAGGCAGACGATATAAACATCAAAGAAATAGAACCCGACATTAGTTGCTGTGGTGTTTCATATAATGTCATTGACAAGATATACGTTATGAAAGGAGGTGAAACGTTGAACTTAAAATATAGTTTCCCAGACGTTATAAAAATATTTGACGACCACAACATTTCATTAAAATTTATTTGCTAAGTAAAATGTCAAAATTCTTGAAAGATGTTTGAAGAAAAATTAATATAGACTTTATTTCATGTAAAGGACTTTACACACTTTTGAACGATATGAAAGACCCTGTTTTGTTTGTTCGTGTAGACAAAGGAAAGTTCTATGTCTTTACAAAATATTTGAACTTCTTAGACAGAGAACTTCAAGAAACGCCATGTGAAAGTTTAGATGAAGTTCTTCTCCACTTTCAGAAAAACTTTTAAATATATATAAATGCAGAAGACATAATGGTTTATACTATTACGACTAAAAACCCTGAGTCATATAAATTCTATAACAACAAACTTACAAAGTCCTCAAGGACGATATTGTAAACTAACCTTAAACACAATGACGACTAAAGCCTGTTTTGCTCTTTTGACACCAGAAGACTTTATTGTTGTGAATGGCAAAAAATACTCCTTTGAAGATACTTACTCAATATACCACCAACAGGTTTTTGTTGACTTATTTAATACTTTAAGTACGGGTGTAACATGTGCTGCAACTAGAGCAGGTTTCATTATGTTTGGATGTCCGACTGAGTTTACTATAAACGATATGAGCTATAATACAAAACTTATTTCTGGTTTTTACTACCAACAGTTTCCTATAACAGGAAAAGGTGTCATACAAGGAATGTCTATTCCATTGACATTAAGCACACCAATCTTATATATTGTTTCAAACTTAGGTTCAAAGTGTTATTCGAATGTCGACAGAAACTATTATGACCAAAAGATACTTATGCGTATAAACAATACTTTCTCTGCTGGTTGCCTATTTTCATTCGAATGCAGAATTTTCAACCTTAGTGAACTCAAACACTTTGGCAAGTATAACGTTGACATTAGTTGACGCAAACTTTGTTCCTGTAAAACTTTATGTCCTATGATTTGTCAATGACGGCAGAAAGTTTCGAATTGGAAGATGCAACTGGTGAAAGTATTGTATTACAAGAACAACTTCAACAACAAATAGCTCAAGAACAACAAATGCAACAACAAAGTCAAGAATAAAAAAAATTTTTTTTATTTTTATAAAAATGTACAGAATAGATGTTTCAGATTTTTATGACTTCCAAGCATTCAGAAATATGTGTCCATTTAGAGACTATAACAAAGCAGTCGAGAATTTGAAACGTTTAGTCATTTATGTTGACTCTGCCCCAGAATGTTATGTCATGAAAGAATGGGATGTTGTCTTTAACAAACCAAGAGCAACAATAGTTTCAGAACAAGAATGTAGACAGAAACTTAAGAAAATAAAAGTCGTACAAGTTGGCATGAAGATGTTAGATGCTTGGGATATCTTATTGTCAAAACTTGAAGATTTTTCAGTTCGAGGTATAAAGTTCTATACACCTTCTCCAAACTTCTATTCTATCTTCACTGGATATAAATATGAACAAGTAGAATGGAAAGAAAATATTATAGAAGCTTGGTTAGACCATGTCAAAGAAATTATATGCAATGGAAACGAAAGAGTCTATGAGTATATCTTATGTTGGTTTGCAAACATCTTACAACATCCAAGTGCTAAAATGAAACTGCTCTCATTATAATTGGAAAACAAGAACTGGTAAGAATACTTTCTTTACAGATATCTTATGCAAACTGTTAGAAGGTTATTCGAATCCGAATATGACAAACTTAGAAAACATCTGTGGCAAGTTTAACTCTTCAATTGAGAATATGAAACTTATAGTTTGCAATGAACTTCAAAGTATAGATACAACAAAAGTTTTAAACTCAGATGCTTTGAAGAGTCTTATAACAGATAAAGTTGGAGTTGTTGAAAGAAAGTATAAAGACCAAAGAGTTTGTGAAAATGTTGCAAACTTCATTATGGTTTCAAACAATGCTGTTCCGATGAAGTTAGAAAGTTCTGACAGAAGATATGTAGTTGTCAGAACGTCAGATTCTCATATGCAAGATACAGAATATTTTGACGACTTAGCAGAAACTTTGACATCTGACTTTTACAACCACTTGTTCTCATACTTTATGACATTAGATATTTCTAAGTTCAATCCAAGACAAATTCCACATACCGAAGAGAGACAAACATTGTTAGAAGCAAACAAGAGTGTATATGAACTGTTCATAGATGAAACTGACTTTGTGTCATTAGATGAAAGGTCATTGTACGATTCGTATAAACAATATTGTCAAGAATATGGTTATATGACAGCGTCTAAATGAACATTCTTGGCAAATGTCAAAAGTCTTTTAGACGTACAGAATGGTGTATATACAAAGAAAAATTTTTTCTGAGTAAATTTTTAAAAAAATATTTTTTTATCCGATAGAAAAGATGGCAAAATTCATCTCAGTAAACAAGTACATGTCAGACTTAAAGAAGAACAGACCCATTCACATATTTGAATGTTTATTCACCATTTTGAAAAGTCTTCATTCAGCAAAGTTTGGAACATCGAACCAGTTTAAGTTTGCTATTGTGACTAAAAATGGTGCGAAATTTGAAGACTTAGACATAGAAGGTTTGTTAACAGTCAAAGAAAGTTTTGACAGAAGGTTTTCAAACCTTAAAGAAGGCAAAGCATACAAACTTGTTATACCTTATGAACCAAAGAAGACAGACGACTATGAATATTATGAGTCTAAAGTTGTAGAAGTTCAATGTAAATTGGGTAAAAAGATTTTAGAGTCTAAGCCGGTGTTTACTCCTAAAGAGGAAGAGAACATTGACATTGACCCAGAAATGTTCTAAAAATAAAATTTTATTTTTACATGTCAAATTTCTTTTTCTCTGGAACTGGTTCAGGTTCTTTCTTCTCTTCTTCTACTTTCTTTTCTTTCTTTTCTCTCTTCTTCTTTTCTGGTGGAGATATGTCAAATTTCTCAGAACCATATTTATGTAAAAGTTATTTGTCCTTTAATAGCTCTTCTATTCTGTTTTCTATTTCATCTTCAAGAACAGCGCATGTGTCTTCTTTGCATTCTAAGAACTTTTGTTGGACTTCATCTTTCCAATCGGCGTCATCTCTGTCAACAAGTCTGTCATTGACAAATTTTAAGACTGCTCTGCTTAATGTTTATGGTTCTTGTCATATTCCAGAAACAGAACTTTAGAACAAATTCACCTTTCTTGTTTACACTATGTAAGATTTATGGTCGACAGATGTTTTGCTGTCGAAAAGCTTGTCTCGAATATAGATAGCGAAATCGCTAGACATTTTCTAAAAGATAAAAATTTTAATTTTTCTAAAATATGTTAGAAAAAGTTTGCTGACATTGACAAGAAATTTGAGAATGTTTTAAACAAGAACAAGAGGAAGTTAGAAAATGCTCAGATAAAAACCTATACATGACAAGTTCTTATTGCTCAGAATGGATATAACAGGTCTAATTGCACCACCTGGGTCGGGTAAGACTTTCACTTATCTTAAAATGGCTGCACAACAACAAGAACTAGATGAAAGAACCCATTCTATGAGTTAGTTGTTATTTGTAGTACTTCTGGTCAATTTGACCAAACCGTCAATTCGTTCAAGATATTATAAAGAAGTCTAATTAGTATGTAAAGGATACTGAGTTGTTAGATTGGATAAAGAAGTACCAAAGAAGAGTTTTGAAGTATAATGCTATAAATGAGTATGTCAATTCGAAGTTTAAAGACCCAAATGAGGAAATGCAAGAGAATATTAGAGAAGAAACACTTCAGAAACAAACAGAAAGAGATAGAATACATTTCGAAGAAATTGCAATCTTACGATTGGAAGACTTACCCTCATAGATGTCTTCTTATCTTAGATGATTTCGCCTCTCATCCTTTGTTAAAGAATAGAGAACAAGATATGTGTCGAATTCTTAAGAAGCTCAGACACTTTAACATCTCAGTCGTAATATGTGTACAGACGGCAAAGAGTTTAAGTAAGGATGTTAAAAGAATACTTACTGACATTATACTTTTCCCGATTGTCCGAAGACGATTTCATGGAACTTATGAAAGAGTCCATGGCAGGTAAGTTTGACAGACATGAACTATGGGAGAAGTACAAAGTCATACAAGACCCTCATACTTCTTTCAGAATTCATATCTACGCAAACAAAGTTCAAATTGTAAAAAGTCAAGCTTGAAAAATAAATGGTTCATCTACCCTACTTGTTTGAAGTTGTCAAAATACTCTGTTATTTTTTCTTTCAGTAGCGGTAATCTTTTGAAGGTAAGTATTGTACAACCTTTAATATCATAGTGTGTTTGAGGTAACGTATCTTGAACTATTTGTTTCACATCTTCATTTGGTGTCATTGAAATCGGTAAGTTTTCGCGATAGAACCAATTTCTGTCAGATTTGTAAATCTTAGCAAGGTCGTAAAAGCTTTTGTTGTTTCTTCTGACTAAATGCAACATAACCATATCTTTATCTTCTTCATTTTCCATCTCTTCAGTATAAATCATATACTTATAGTTCTTTTCCTTACCTTTTGGTACCGAACGTGGTATTCTTTTCTGAATGCTTTTGTCTTTTGCTTCAAGCTTGTTTTCCATCTCTTCACGTTCTTGTCTATGAATTTCGTCAAGAAGTCTGTAAATATACCAAGCATAACGAGGCGAAGCCCACATTGCAACAGCATTTACAAGAAGTCTATGTACATAATATCCTCTCAAACCATTTGGCAAATTTTTACGATTTTCATGAGTTTTAGGCGACCCAGAAAAAAGTCGGTCTCGCTGTGCTTCGCTCAAAAGTTCTTGTGTGCTTTGGTTTTTGAACCAATCGTCTGTATGTTTGGTATCTGGAGCAAAACATGCTGTCAAAATACTTTGCATTTGGTACATATCGTCTTTGACCGAACGAATGAGACGGAGTTGTTTGTTAAACTGAACCCACTCATATTCTTCATTTATAGCTTCATGGACTATAACTGTTGTTGTGTTCTCTGTTGTTGACATATCTGTCTTTACATACAAAATAAAAAAATATTTTATAAAAAACTAACTTTATTTTTTCTATCTTAAGGAAATTCATGATTTTCATAGAGTTTTGGCGACTGTGGTTTTTTACCTACTCGCTGTTCTTCACTGTTTTCCGAGGGAAGCAAGCATATGCCATTTTACTCAGAATTTTGTTGCTGAATTCAGCAAAAATATATTTTAGGTGAAGAGGTGAGATCTCACCCGTTTTCTCACCTGTTTTTTCACCTCAGTTATTTTATAAGCGTTTTACATGGTAAACGTTATTTTTTAAATTTTGTGAAAACTCAACGGTTTGACACAAGCCATATGCCATTTTACTCAGAATTTTGTTGCTGAATTCAATAAAAATATATTTTAGGTGAAGAGGTGAGATCTCACCCGTTTTCTCACCTAATTTTTCACCCCAGTTATTTTATAAGCGTTTTACATGAATTGTACGATGTATATTTGAAATCCTAAACAGTTTTGTAGCTTCTATTTCTTCTTTTAGTACATCGAATGTTTTAACAATGCCGAAAGTTTCTTTATACTTCTTCTTGACATCAGATAGAAGGAAATCGTCAGCAGTTGGATAGTTTTTGTTCAGAAATTCTAACATGTCCATTTTATTTTCTGCTGGCTTTTCTGCTTCTTTCTTTAAGTCAGCATAGTCGTTTCTCATTCTTTCTATCTCTTTGACGGAGTAGTTATATTTCCTCATTGCTGCTTTACATTTAGAACATTGCGGGTTCATTTTTGCGTTATATTCTGAAACCTTACCTGCTAAAACAACCAAGGCGTCAATGGTTTTCTTTAAATCTGAAGCAGTTGGTTTTATCTGTTCATTCCATACCTTACCTCTTCTATCTTTATCTCTTATCTGCCATACACATTTTGCAGCTAATGAAACAAAGTTGTCGTATGTCTTAAACTCCCCAGATTTATATATGTCAGAGATGTTCTTATATAACATGTCGCAATCTTTGTCCATAACTTTATGGTTGCAATGAAAACCAAGGAATTCATAATTTACCTTTCGTATGAACCTCTTTATTTCTACTGAGTCAGTTGCTTTGACTTCAATTTCATCGAATTCAGGAATAGTTAGTTTTTGCTGCTGAATTTCAGGTGGTTTAGGCAAATGGTCAATAATGTCCTCCATTTCATAAAGATACTGTTCATTTGTTTCATCTTTCGCACTACAGTCTAAATTACTTGTTAAAAGTTCCTGCTTTATTCTTTGTATTTCTGTTTCGAAAGTATATGAAGAAGGAATGAAGCTTTTCATTTCTACTAACATAGATGTTGGATTCATGACTAACGAGTTTGGTGCTGTTGTTTGAATTGTTGTTGTGCCGATTGTTGAAATCATATCTTTTATACAAAATAAAAAAAATAAATAAAATAAAACTTGTTGTGCATGAAAATTCGGTTCACGTCACTTCTGACAAAAAGTGACAAGTTTACATGGCAAAAATATATAGGGTATTTTTTTTTAAAAGTAGTTATCTTTATATATAAAAATCAAACTTTTGATATATTTGAGTAAATGATTTATTAATTTATTTATTTATTTTTTTTAAATCAAATCATATAAATATATATATATATAATAGTGAAATAGAACAAGAGATAATTATTGATGATTAAATTGTAGACGAGGATAAAGGTTTAGATAAATTAATAAAATTAGTGTGGAATCAGACAAATTTCGGGTTGTTTGTATAAGGAATTGTTGGCTATGATGTACTGATTCATGATCAGTACATCATAGCCAACAATTCCTTATACAAAGTTCAAAAACTTGGGTGCAATCAGAACTGATTGCACCCAAGTTTTTGAACTTTCTCGAGGGAATGAAAGGGTAAGAGGTATACATTATGAATATATACCTCTTACCCTTCCATTCCCTCTCTGACAGCGGGAAACTTTGTCTGAATGTTAAACTATTCAGACAAAGTTTCCCGCTGTTTGCGAAGGAATTGTTGGCTATGATGTACTGATTCATGATCAGTACATCATAGCCAACAATTCCTTATACAAAGTTCAATTTTCATATTTCATGTATGTAACTCTCTAAAACTATAAATCTGATTTTCATTTGGCAGATCCACTTCTTGTCTTTCCATTTTTTTTGAATCAATTTATACAAATAAACTTATAAAACACAAAATTATTATTTTATAATATAATTCTTAGATAATACATCCGATATGTAAAGTGTCAAAAATGAAGTGAACCGAATTTTCATGCATTACAAATAAAATAAAACTAACTTTATTTTTTCTATCTTAAGGAAATTCATGAAAATTCAAGAGGGTAGAAATGAGGGTAGAAATGAGGTTAGATCTAACCATCTACCCGACATTCTCGTCAAATACAAAAAAATGACACTTTTTCATTATATAACTGTTATTTTTGACGAAGTGAAGGTTTACACTTCGTCAAAAAAATCCCTGAAATCATATCTTTTATACAAAATAAAAAAAATAAATAAAATAAAACTAACTTTATTTTTTCTATCTTAAGGAAATTCATGAAAATTCAAGAGGTTAGAAATGAGGTTAGAAATGAGGTTAGAAAACGTGTTAGATCTAACATGTTAACATAAACATTATTTTTGGTGTAAATTTCATTGACTGACTGACGGCACAAAGTGGCTTAGCGAAAACATTAATATATAAAATTCATGAAAATTCAAGAGGTTAGAAATGAGGTTAGATCTAACCATCTACCCGACATTCTCGTCAAATACAAAAAATACAAAAAAATGACACTTTTTCATTAGATAACTGTTATTTTTGACGAAGTGAAGGTTTACACTTCGTCAAAAAAATCCCTGAAATCATATCTTTTATACAAAAAAATGACACTTTTTCATTAGATAACTGTTATTTTTGACGAAGTGAAGGTTTACACTTCGTCAAAAAAATCCCTGAAATCATATCTTTTATACAAAAAAATGAAGAATAAATAAAATAAAACTAACTTTATTTTTTCTATCTTAAGGAAATTCATGAAAATTCACGAGGTGAAAAAACAGGTGAGAAAACGGGTGAGATCTCACCTCTTCACCTAAACATTATTTTTGCTGAATTCAGCAACAAAATGAACGAGGTCAGGATGTATGTAAATACCTTTGAATTCATTCATAACGCCCTTAGTAAGCTCATAAAATGCTTGTTTTGAGGTCGAGCCACTTTTGGCTCCACCGTATTCTTTCAACCAAAACTCAAGAATTTCCTGCATGAATTTTGTATAAAACTAACTTTATTTTTTCTATCTTAAGGAAATTCATGAAAATTCACGAGGTGAAAAAACAGGTGAAAAAAGAGGTGAGATCTCACCTCTTCACCTAAATTATATTTTTGGTCCGGGAACAACTTTCTCTCAATTGGAGCTGTAGCATACTCTTTGCGTAAGCGGTTCAGACCTTCTTCGAACTCTTGGTCTCTCTTCGATTTGGACTGAGATTGGAATTGCTGGTGTGGAGCTTGCTGGAACATCCAAGGGTTGGGGAAGTAAGGCATAGGCTGAGGAGGGTAGTTCGGGAAGCCTTGTGGTGGGTAGTAACCTTGAGGTGGAAATTGGTAGTAATTCGGAGGTACTTGCTGGAACTGAGGTTGCTGAGGAGACTGTTGTGGTTCTTTAGGTTCCTCTGGTTTGGGAATGGACTCGGTTGGTGGTACGTCGGACATCCGTTTGTGTCCTGTCGGAAGGAAAAACTTTTCCTGTCGGATGGAAAAACTTTTCCTGTCGGATGGAAAAACTTTTTCTGTCGGAAGGAAAAACTTTTTCTGTCGGAAGGAAAAACATTTTCTGAAGTTCGACCAAAAAGTTCTCAATTTTCGAAAATTTGAATGGTTTACGGACGGACAACTGGAAAATTTTTTCCTGTCGGAAGGAAGAACTTTTCCTGTCGGATGGAAAATTTTTTCCCTTTGTCCGGAAAATTTTTTCCTGTCGGATGGAAGAACTCGGAATGCCAGAAGGATTTGACGAGGCAATTTACCTAATTGAAATTAACGAGCTTGTTAAAGACTACTTGCGCAAGGTCATGAAGCCCAAGGTCAAGTTCACCACTATTTCTGGAAGGGCTGCCTTGAATCTCGAGACTTCGACCGGAATTCCAATTCAAATACCAGACGGGACAGCCTACGATGGCACAAAGGACGCCAAAAGAGAAGCTCTTCTCAAGTTCTTTGCAAAGCGCCCATGGACACAACTTCCAAACAGAGAGAGTCCAATTCCACGAATTATACAAATTTTCAGAGCACTGTTCCACTTCTCGGGTCAGCTGTTCTACATAACCTGTGAAGGCGACATCCAACCAGTTCAGTAAACATCTCATTTTAACTCACTTTTTTAATGTTTTTTGTGAAAGTGTCAAAAATAAATTGTTTTCATGAGTTTTCTACGATGTTAGAAAAAATGTTATTTTCTAATATCTTCACATTCAATACTTTTTCAGCACTTTTCCGTAGTTATATATGAAAGACAATTCGAGATAAAAGTCATAGTACAATGGAATAATATGTTGCACACCATTTGTTGTGAACCAAACTTGAAAGTCAGAGAAACTGTTACTAGGTGGTTCGTAGAATTTAGAAGCAAAGTCATAAAGGTCCTTACCAATACATAGAAAACTATTGTTGCTTGAACTGAAACTTGCATGACACATAACATTTTGAGGGTCAAACACGTTTCTATAAACTGTCAAATCTGCTGGTGGAAGTATAAATTTAAATGGACCATCTGGTGGTAATGGTTCGTTCTGGTTTAGTAACCGAAGAAATTGTGCCCAAGAACGTTTGTCTACTTCCCAAAATAAAAACTCTGTATCTCTTGGAGGGTTAATTTCAATCTTTTGAAATGAAACGGTGGAGTTCATCTTGTCATATTCTAGTTTCAGATAGTATGTTCCATTTAGTAAAGAGTCGTATTTTTCTTGAAATTCCCAATAATATTTGTTCATTTGAGTTTGAAAGTCATTTAGATTTTCTCAAGACTTTCGTCTGAACGAACTGTAAAGATTCTCATTTCGTCAAATTTGTCTATTAGACCATCAGAACCTTTATACTGCCCATGAAAATATACTGCGAACATAAATGCGTTAGTTCTATTTGAAAACAAAACTCTTCTAAATCCTATTGCCTTTGCATCTGAAGGACTTTGAAGCCAACGAATTGGATAGTCAAACCTGTATGCTCGGGATGAAATTTCTTCATCTGAAATAGTCCTACCAGCATTTGTAAAGATATAGTCTAACGGTTTTGTATCTGCTACTTTTGTTCTTTGTTTTTCAACCTGAAGCATTTAATATATGTAAAAATATATTGTTTTAAAATGGTATGCCATTTCATATTTCTCATCTAACAAACAAGTTTCCCAACGGTCTTCTCCAACAAACTCAGCGTACAGTTCAAATAAAATTTAAAAAATGTCACTTTTTTAAAAATAAATTTTTTATTTCATGCAATGTTTAACTATTTCACCATCTTCTTTAACACCCCAATATTTCCTTTTCGATATTACATGAACTTCGGAAAATACCTTATCTAGCTTAAAACAGCCCATCTTTTCACCAACCATTCCCATTTCAATGAGTTTGTTGTATCCTTCTTCGTTCGTCATGAGTGCGTCAATGTTCTCATAGTAAACCTTCACTTTCGATTTGACTTCGGAGAAGAATTTGTTGTACTCGTCAAGGACTGCTTTTGCGAACTGAGGGTAAGACCAATGTTCGACAATAGGTTTTAATGTGGTTACTAAGCCACTTTGACCTTGAGTGAATTCGTACTTCAAAACAAAAGGAGAAAACCTTTCAACAAAGTTGTCGACCTTCTCATAATGTTTACTCTTCATCTCTTGAGGTTTCTTAATGGAATATCCCCATGTCGAATTCATAAGCAATTTGAGTGCCATTGCAAGTTTGGGGTTTGAAGCTTTCCTAATATCATACAGTTGTTGTATGACTTTTCCAACTGTATAGTTCCTTCCCGGGAACTCACCATCTTCGTTTGGAATTCCAGTCGGAATATATTGGACAAACCTCATGTATGCAGCGTTAAGGTCGACATAGTATATCTTTTCGTTTGAGTCGAACTTGTCGCAACCAATTGGTCCAGTTTGTGGAAATTCAAGTGAGTCTCTTATCTTCTGAGAAACTTCTCCTGTTATCTCATAAACATCGTCGAAGCAACCTGTTTCATATAAAACCTTCTGACCTAACTCAGATGCTCTCCAATACAATTTGACGTCAATTGGATGTCTCAATGGAAGTTTGTTTATAGCATCTTGAAGTTCTTGCAACCTCATTGGAAGTTCTTCTGGTTCAGGTTGGTATCCGAACAATCCAACTCCTTGTGGAATTGTGTACTTCTTTTGTACTAGAACTTTGTCTGGAACAACTTTTGGTCTTGCAACAGTGAAAAGTTTGTTTCGTCTTTTGGTACAAAAGTTTCTGTCAGCTTGTCATCTGAATTGGTTCCAACAAACCTTTCTCGAAAAGAATGTTTACAGCTCTGACAATGTTGCACTTGCCTTTTCCGAACAATGGTTTGTAAGACTTTCGTTCAACATGAAGTGGTTGTGGACAATTACAATCTTCAACCATGGTAAATTGAACTCAACAACATAGTCGTCATGTGAAGAACCTTTAGCTGTAGGTATGTTGACTCGGATATTGACATTTGCCAACGGTGCAATTTTTGCCAATTGACCTCTGAGAATGTACCTTGTCTTCACACATGACTCAAATACTTCATCTTCTCATCTGTAACAAGACCAGAGTTCCTGAGACATGTAAGAATGCAAGGTTCATTGACAATTGTTTCAATTGAATTGTAAATTCCATACCTTGTCAAGTTAATGTCAGACTTATTTATGAACGGGAAGTATCCAGCATGTTGTCTGACTGCTTGAGGGTAGTTGGTACCATTCGAACTTGACACTTGCAATTCCTTCAATTGCATTCAAAATGTCTGAGTCGGAGTCAACCATTTGTTCTCTCTTGTAGTCTTGAAAGCGTCAAGAAGTTTTGCGGCTGTTTGTTCATTGCCATGTGCATAGTAAATGTGACCATCCAAATCTGTTATGGTCAATCTGAGATTGTGTCCTTTTTATTTCCGTCTTGTATGGCAGCAAGTACACCCATGAAGCCTTCTTTGTTCTTTCCTTCGTCAAAGTTTACTGTAAAGGTTCGACCAGAAGTAATTTGACTTCTAACTTCACGATACTTTTCATATGCATATCTTGTTCTTTCCATAGAAGCATGTGTGTCTTCACCTTTTCCTTTTTTCCTTCTCAAAGGATGCAATTGTTCGTCATGTTTCCAGTAGAATCTGGCAAAGCCGTCGTGTCCTTCAACTTGAGGTTCACTAACATCGAAAGGCATGTCCATAAGACGTTCTTCTTCTAACCTCCTATCTGTTTGGATTAATTTGCACGTGCTGTTTCCAAATCCATTTCGTAGCGAAGACCAGCCAGTTTGTCATAGACTTTTATGGGTCTTCCTTCTATATTAAACTTCTTCGAAACTCTCCAACCATATCTTTGCAACTCTGTTTTATTCTAGCAGACTTTCTATCCATTCTATATGGGGGCATTTTTATAAAATAAAAAATATTTTTTCTTTACTTTACATAACCGCCTGCTGCCATAAGTCTTTGACGCCAACCATACCAGCTAATGAAGGTTGACTTGGTTTAGTTTGGAAACTAAACTTTGGTTTTGTTTATCTTCAGTTTTTGGTTTTTCTTCTTCTATCGGTTTTTCGTCACTTTTCGGTTTCTCTGACTTTACCTCACCTGCAGGAACAGTTGTGTCGTCAACATCTTCATAAATATCATATGCCATTTGTTTTTGTTTTCCTTTCAACTTTTTGGTGTTTGTTGTAAAGTTTAGAATATTTCGACTCTAAGTCAATGAGATGTTCTATAATGAACTGTTGGTCAGTGAAGTAAATTTTCCATCTGTTGTCTCAAAAGCTCCTTCAGACTTCAATATTTTATTTGTGAGAGTCTGTTTCTTTTTTGAGATACTACCGTTCCATTTCTATGAAAAGTGACTTTATAGTTAGGTTTGTATTCCAGACCTGGCACTTTCTATTATTGAATTTTTCTCTTCATCTGTAAGTTCTTTGACGGGTTTTGACAATGGTTCTGAACTTTTTGTTTGTGGTGTCAAATCTACCGTTTCAACTTCTTCGGTCATTTCATCTCAGTAAAAAATTTTAGTTTGGTTTGTTTTCAACTGGTTGTTGTTGTTTTTTAAGTCGGTCTAAAACTTCCTGAGGTATAGGAAGAACTTGACAAACACGTGGTGTAACTGCTGGAAGCCGACAAATCCATCTTGAACTTATTGTCTCAATGCTGTATTGTTCATTTCATCTCAGTAAAAAACTTTACATTCCCCACGTTTGAGGCGGTTGAGGTTGGTTATTGTTTACCCACTGTTGTGCATGGTTATATCCTCTGTTAAAGAATCTTTCACCTTGGTCCATATAGTGTCCTGCTTGGTTATAGTAGTCATTTGCTTTGTTATAATAGTTTCCTGCTTGTCTCCTACATTGTCCATCCATCCTTGAACTTTTCCTCTTGTTTCAGGATTTGGAATAAGATTTGTTGCATCTCGTGCTACATCCCAACCTTTCTGTACAGTTTGTATAATAGGTGTGCTTTCTCTTTAAGTATACCTAATGTACTCAAAATCTTCCTTCCAACTCCAAATACACCTCTGGCTATTGTTCCCACTGCGGGCAAAAATCTGATGCAACTCCTGCTAATGCGCCAATAAAACCCATTTCTTATAGGAAAAAAATGACGAATCCAAACAAGGACCCCTATGTTTCTAAGGCAACAAAAAAAGCACTCATGATAAAAATCTTTAGTTCAACACCAAATTGCTTGGTTTATGGATATCTTGGAAAACATTCCGAGAGTTAGAACAGATGGACCTCCATACTGGTTAATATTTGTTGGTCAAACACAAGATACTGTGAAGCCATACCATTATGGTCCAAAAATATTTTAGATGTGAAAACTGCTTTGACAATATTCGTTGACAAATACCATCCAACAAAACTGACATCTGACTGTGAAAGTTCTTTCAAATCAGATGATATTAAAAAACTATCTGCGTTCAAAAATGTAAACCAATATTTCATTGTCGACCAAAACCATTCTGCTCTTGGTGTCATTGACGGTTGTATAAAAATGTTAAGAGACTTAAACCAACCACAAGGTGGTGAAGCAAATGAAATGTCATATGACGACAAATATAGACACTTCTCCATGGCAAAGATGAGACAAGTTTTAAATATTTACAATAACCGTAAACAAA